AATTTGTCACCCACGATATTAAAAGGTAATCAAATGGTTTTCTCGTGAAATTAGGAAATAATTTCACTTGTTTTGCCAAAGTTCTGATAATTTCCCTCGCCTAAAGGTTCGGGAAATTATCAGAACTTTGACAAAACGCACGTGAAATCATTTCCTAATTTCACTCGTCACCATTTGATTACACATACTAATTACTTAACGCAAGATATAGCTTAGATGATGTTGTTTTTATAATCGGTTATCATAGCAGCTCGTTTTTGTCTCTTCAGTTGATAAACTAAACACAGACCACTTGACTCACATTTGTATTTTACTGTTACGTTTTTGCTGTTTGTTGTTGTTGTTGTTGTTGCTGTTGCTGTTGCTGTTGTTGTTTGGCAGAACGTGCTTGGTCGAATTTATCAGCTTCCGCGGGTAAACGCTATTACTCCACGTGATCAATTTCAATGAATCCAGATCAATGCTGAACTAAAATCTTGGTATATATTTAGATTGATTGGCATTTGTGGTTACACAAATAATTCGCATGTCTCAAGTACGAACGCTATTACGAAAACAAAAATTTCGTTATCACGAAATTTTCAATTTTTTTACGAACACTAAACCAAGTTATTCGCGGTAGTGCCAACAGGCAAAAAAAAAAAGTAATAAAACCCAACGAAAAAAAACTCAACGATACTGATGCCATCATCAAAAGGGTGTCCAGATATTACCAACCGAAAAAAAAGTATAAACAAATAACTAGAATAAGCAAAGACCTCAAAACTTTGCATGCTTTAATTCTTTTGGACTCAAGATAAAATCAAGGTCCAGAAATCACAGCAAACCAGGTTGTTTCTCTGAGGCAACTCGAGGCATGTGATTGGACCGCGTCTCAGTGGCGCCTGTACTAAACACGTTAATTTTTTCAACTAGTAAGATACTGAGGTGAAAGATACCAACTCTACAATAAAGAAACAAATTTGACAGTTTGTTTGATTGTTTTAACGGGTGCAACCTCTTTGGGTTCCCAGTTTATGTATAATGTAATGACGGGTGGAAAGAGAGAGAAAAAGATTACGAGCCCTCACTACGGCCTCGTGAAGATCTAATAGTCTACCATCTTAATTAAGGGATGCCTCTGGATACACAATCATGCCTCAAGGAAAACAACATGTGAATTCATTAAAATCAATTTTTATTTTAATGACCATCGATATTTTGGCGTTTTCGTATTTTCGTTTTGTAAAGGCAAACTATGCGGCCGCCGTCACCACTGGATTGTCAACGTCTCAAGAATCAAGATTTCATTTTCAATTTTGCGAGATAATTAGGAAGGAGACGGTTACAGTCAATTCATCGTATCGCCGACATTTTTTTAACAGTTTGAGTAGCAGTAATAAAGTGGTTTTTCCGTTAGAGTTGAACACTTACTTGCTATAATGGTTGCACATTACTGAAAAGCTACACAAGTTCGATTTCATTGTTACTGTGATGTAATGACTTAACAACTTTTGACAACCACACTTAACATGTTACAACTGGTTATACAGTGTTCAAACTGAAAAAGCCCATAATACTAAATACTAAATCTTATTTAAGTTTTATAGCTCAGTCTAGATACTCAAATAACGTGGGCTTACACTCAACGTTGTTTGTCTCCATGGACACAAAATATGCGCTGTCTACTAACTATGTGGCTTGCGCTCTCAAACTTCCGCTTATGAGCATTTATATATGTGTCAACGACTTATTCCTTCCTCGTTTTTTTGCCACGTATCCAACGCCTACGTTGTGGTCTTAAATATTTTTTTTCGGAAAAAAATACCGATTTCACTGTTTGTCTCTCAATTAATTCACAAAACTCATGGGCGAGGAGTGATAGGTACACTAGTTTGCTTCGACATGAATTTCCGACACAATGAGGACTCTAATTAGCTACAATAAAATAAACATTAATTTCAGAACGGACATCCGCTTTTGCCTTCCGAAACCACCAGGACTTCACCTTGGAATTATTTGTGTAACTTTGTCATATCAGGAACTGCAAAACTAGTTACTGGGGACTGACTGTTAATCGATGGTGAGCATCAGATAAAATGTATGGATTATAACAAGTTCTTAAGGTACTTGTTCAGATAGTTCATGACTAGCGGTATTCCGTGTTACATGCTCAGTGCAAATAAGAGCACACTGATATCAGTATCTAGGCCTGAGTGGAAATCCCCAAGGAACTTCCTTCTCGCTATTAAAACGCTTTAGCCCCAGCAGTTTTAAAAATGTCCGTTTCATTTCCGGGTTACGACGCGCATACACAAGTGGGTTGACAGCGCTGTTTAAGTAATGGACACTCTTGACGATGATAACTAGACCCCTGAGGGAGCCTGGTGAGGAGGGAAGGCAATGGGGGCAGTATGCTGCTGTAACCGACACTGTAAAAAATGGCACCCAAGCAACGAGGAATAAGCCAGTGATGAGTGCTACAGTGGTAGCCACCTTTCTCTCCCTCTGATAGTACTTCTTTAAGCTTTTCGTGCTGTCCTGGCTCGCAGTGCGCGATGAGTTGCGTCGGAGCAGAGAACGTGCCACTGAAAAGACGCCGGTGTACATGCACGCTGTTATGGCGATGGGGAGAATGAACCCGCCGATGAACAACACCGTGGAGTAAACTCGGCTGATCCAGGGGGTGGTATTGGTGACAGAAGACAGTGAAGCTAGAAGGCCAGCAAATATCCAGGTGGAAGATATCATCGCTCGGTGAAAGAATGGAGACAAGCATTTGTAGTAAAATGGCCGTGAAACAGCAATGTAACGTTCGATGCTGATTACAGACAAGTGGTAAATGGATGCGAGCGCTGCGAAGACGTCAAAAATTCTGAAAGCTGCTTTAAAAATGTATGACTCGCTGAACTCTATTAAGATGATGTAGATCCACATGGGTAAAGAGATACCGCCAACCAGGAGATCCGAGATCGCTAAGCTGACGAGATACGCGTTAGTTCGAGTTCTCAGTCTGTTGTTGATCTTGTATGATAAAACGACCAAAGAATTGCCAAATAATGTGACAACAGCAAGAAGGATGGATGGTACTAGGACGGCGCTCAGTGGAATGAAATTGGAATGCGCTTCATCAAGTGTGTTGTTCGTACTGCTTGTGCTGTTCTGCGAAGGGGTCTTCATCTTAGCGTGCCAGTTCTGAAGAGACAAGTTGAAACAAGTTGAGAAAAACTTGAAAAAGTTGAAAATCAATATGAAAATGCCTACGAGACAGCGCTTTGAAAGTTTATAAACAATTGTTAGTTCACATACAGACGAGTTTCTGCTGTAGAGTTCCTTGACGATGAAACAACATCAACAACCGTAAGACAAAAATTTTTCTCGTTGTCAGGAAGTTATGGTAAATGTATACTTTCGAACGGCATAACTGAGTGTATATTGTGGTTTAAATTTGAAATGAGTAGGTGCGTCGCTTGGATTGCACTGCGAAGATAAAAAGATGAAAATGGGCACAACGAAATGTTTCTGAGACTGTGAACATACTAAAACTAATAAAGGGTTTTGTTTTATGACCTTTTTTCGCGCTATCTATGAACATCAACAGGAGCCACGTTGCGACGATTCTAAGAAGCGATACTTTATGTCTTTCTATACAATATTTATATCTCTGCCAAAAATTTGGTAATTATTCAGAATCTTAATTTGCAGCTGTCATGCCTTAGAATAAAAAAATACCGTAAACATTTTTTTTTCTTTCAATACGCTACGTCTAACCTTTGGAGACTCCATAATGCAAGCTCTTAAATGATACTTAAAAAGAAGCTTAAAATAGATTAGTAGCTAGCGCATAGAAAAAGAAGAGCTTTGACGGCAGATGAGAGTGTTCATACAAATCTACGAAAAAAAAACAAAAAAAAAAAACAAGTAAAAAAAAATTCTCGTAAAGTTTGAGAGAAGCCTGCAATCCCCTAAACTTTCTTGGAATAGATTTCTTCAAACTAATAGCGACAGTAATGACTCTTACTAAAGCATTAAATTGCCTTGAGAGCCTTTTATACTTTGGCATATTGGCGAGATATTGACGAAAACGTTTTTACGAAGAAATACTTAAGCCTGGTAATAAAATAATCTTTTTTATATAGAGGGCATTGTTGTATATACTACATAATTAAATTGCTGTTATATTTTTCCTATCCCACAGCCGAACTGAAGGTTCCAAGCCAAATCAGAGCCATCACCAGAGGAATAGGTGGTGCCGCGCCAGCTTCGTCAATGAAATCATTTAGAAACACCAAAAATAGCACGAAACACAATTACAACGAATACTCAAACGAAATGAATGTTACCCAGTTTTTACCCTTCTATCAGTTGACCATAAGAGGGCCAGGAGTCTTAACGAATTCAGAGCCAATGAGGAGCTGCAAGTTATTAAATCAACTTGGAGTCAACAAAGAAATTAGAAAAAAGAAAGATACGAAACACAATTAATACAAATACCGAAACAAAATGGATGTTGCTTAGTTTTTATCCTAATATCAGCTGCCCTTAAGAAGGGCATGTATTTTGGACCTAGCCAATATACCAGAATGCAAAAAAATACTGACAGCCCGAGCTTACTACCGCTACAAGAACGCACGAGAACCTGTCCCACAATCGCCATCAAGCTTCGTTCGCGTGCACCTATTTAATCATATTACTGCCTGTAAATGTTCGGTAGAATCCACATTCGAACCGAGTATTATTTGCAAAACTACTTAAAGGAGAATCAAGTTGGTATCTCACGCTAATTCAGTTAATGAACTTTTTCAGCTATCTTCTGCTTGTAACTTCAAGCCATCAAAAAGATTAAAATAACAGGAGAGAGAACAAAAAATTGAGAAATGTGTTTATTACCTTGTAAGTGGTGGTAGGCAAAAACAAAACCCTGCGAGATATAATGAAATAAAATGGATGACGGAGCAGCCATACAAAGTTATTAAGATCTCTATACTGATGGCATCATCAAAAGGTATTCAAACATTCATAGCAGGAAAAAATAGTGAAAATAGTCAGAATAAGTAAAGGCCTAAAAACTTTACATGCTTTAAACTTTTTGGACACAAGATAAGATCAAGGTCCAGAAATCACAACAAACCATGCTGTTTCTCTGGAGCAACAACGAAGGATGTGATTGGACCGGGTCTCAGTGGCGCCTGTACTGAACACATTTATTTTTAAATTGAGATGAGGGATACCAACTCTGCTTTAAAGAAACAAGACTGACTGTTTGTTTGGTTTTTGTAACGGCTACACATGGCTCTGAGGTTAAAAAAAATGACCAGCCCTCACTGACCCTTCGTGGAGATCTAATGGTCTGCCATCTTAATTAAAGGAAGCCGCTGGATACACAATCATGTCTCGAGGAAAACAAAATGTAAAGTCATTAAAATCACTTTTCATCCTAATGGCCATCGATCTTGTGAAGATTTTGAAATCTTCTTTCAGTAAGAGTAAACTATGTGACCGCTATGTGAATGCTCAATATCAAAAAGTAAGGATTTCATTTTCAATTTTGCGAGTTAATTAGGGGGAAAACAGTTACAGTCAATTCGTTATATCGCCGACATTTTTTAACAGTTTAAGGAGTAGAAATAAAATGGTCTTTCCGTTAGAGTTGATGTTGTAATGGTTGCACAATTGCGGCCTGTTTGAAAGGGAAATTTAGATTGTATTGTGATTGGCGTGCAATGACTTAACGACTATCGTTAACAACCACATTTAAGATGTTACAACGGGTGAAACGAGCGTACTGAAGAAGCCCATAACGCTAAATACTAAATCTTACTTAAGTTTTATAGTTCCCAAAGAAAGTGGTTCTTTAGTTTTTTTTATTCCATCTTGTTTGTCTCCATGGAATGATAATATGCAATGCCTATTAACAATATGGCTTGCGCTCTTAAGAATCCACTTCTAATGTAGCTATTTGTGTCAACAACTCGTTCCTTTCGTGTATAATGTCACGTATCCAACGCCTATGTTTCCATCAAAAAACTTCCTTTTTTTTTCAAAAAATGCTGAATTGTCTCTGGTTTGAATGTTCATTTATTCTGCTAATTGGTTCGTTCAGCGGAATATTTTCCGAGGCGAAGAAAATGAAAGAATCAAAAACATTTTATTCCCGTAGGTATTTCATGTTGCATTTTTTAAGAAGTCGTACGTGAAGCTGTCTTATTAAATTTTAAAGTTGATCATTATTTCTTTAGGACAAATTTACTAAAACTAGCAATGCGAAAATTATATAATTAGGACTGAAAAGGGTTTTTCCATTGATGAACATACGCATAAAGGCACTAAACCCCTCGCGATCAAAATTAAACGATATAAATTTGACTAGTCATCGCGTTCAGGTAGCGTGGCCGAGTGGTCTAAGGCGCTGGTTTAAGGCACCAGTCTCTTAGGAGGCGTGGGTTCGAATCCCACCGCTGCCAAGGTTAATTTTTGCTGCGATTGTATAAGAAAAATTTCAGTCATAAGGTATCGTGTCTCGAATGGAAGTCGTTTGAAACAAAGCATTAACAGAAATACTACTGCAGTAGCTGCTTAAATATTTCGTCGCCGAAAAAAGTTAAATCAAACGAAAAAAAAAAGAAAAAAATCAAACAAACGGCAAGTGATGGTATATCACCTTTTGAAGTATGTTTCACGATGCGTTGTCCTGGACTTCGAAATTTTAGAATGTGGTTCTAAAAGACGCTTCTTACCTTAATCAGGATACTATTCACTCCCAGTAAACTAATAATGACACACGTCAGAACACCAATGAATGATGATGTCTTGATAGCATAAAGTGTACGCAATCATTATTTGTAAGTGCACCTGTCACGGCCGTGTTTCTTTGTGGCTTCTCACAGGCCTACGTTCGCTAGCCACTTCACATTTTCAGCGCTTTATTAACCTTGAATATGTTGCGTCCTTTGTGGGGTTTAGTCTGTCAAGCGTCAACAGTAATAAAATATTTCGGTGTCACTGATAAACAACTATAATAAGACCCTTCAATACAGTGCAACCATAATATAATAATATAATAAAGAGTACTCTCACTTTTAAAAAACAGCATAACTTATAATGTGGACAAAAGATTTCACAGTATGCGTGACAATATTTATTTACTTTTCCATAACCCTGGAAAAGGTGTTTCTGGGCTAAATAAGCGAAAACATCGATGGTTAAGGTGACTGTATTTCATGCCTGTCCATGTTTAATCTCAAAAACATAATTCTAAACGGGTAAGACCGAGAAAATTGTGAGCAGAATATATCACTTACCAGTCTTAGATTAATTTAATTTAATTTTATTTTTTGTTTTTGTTTTTTTTTGTTTGAAGATTGAAGATATTACTTCATGTCAGAATCAAGTGTTTAGATGAAATTATACTCGTACTATATCAATTATCATGCAACATCGGATGAGAAATGGTAGATACATTATTTTGGTCCAACACAAATCTCCGACACTATAAGGACTCCAATCAGCAACAATAAAAGAAAATTCAAAACGGACATCCATTTTTTCTTTCTGTTATATACCGCGAGCACTTCACCTTGGAATTCTTTTTGTAACTTTGACATATCAGCAACTCTTTAAGGTGGCTCAAAACAGTTTCCAGCAGATAGGTTTTGATGGGTCATAATGACCACTCTTTATCACTTGATGCTACAATCATGGTATTAAAAAATTCCCCAATTATTGCTGAACAAGTTGTTATCATTTTCTGGTCACAGTAGGTTACTATATTAACAGTATTACCTGCTAAAGCTAATCTTCTCTGTATCGTTCCAATTTTAGTATATGTGCTGCCGTTAAGCGAGCACAGGATGACACGCAAATTCGGGAAGCGTTCCAATTTTTTTTTTTTTTTTTTTTT